AACAGACCAGTCTGTGAAGATCACCACATTTGTCTAATCTGACTTGTCACAGATAAGTGCTCATATTTCGGCAATGTCAGCAGCTGGATTCTGCTCCCGACAATTCCTATCGAGCGTCACGACACAGGAGAATGTGAGATTATGCGCTTTAGACGTTGGTATCCACTCCTCACCTGGATGGATATCTGTAAGGATGCAAACCTGTATGATGTCATCCTCTGCCCTACCCAGCCATAATTGGCCCCTTTTAAGCCTATTGCTCTTTTTCTTGAAGAGCATGTGATGCAAAGGGTGCTTCAGATCTAAGCTTATCTTGAGGTATGCACGAGCCCTCCAGATCTTGATCCTGTAGTTCATGTTAGGGAAGTCAAGAAGGTACCTCATCGCTACACAAAAGGTGTCTCCAGTGCACCCCAGAATAATCGCATTGCTTTGTTTTGCACCATATCAAGTCTTTAAATCTGAGTATTGCTGACAATGAGGATGGCAAGAGCATATACGATGGGAAGAAAGTACAAGTCCCTAGAACAGAAGCAGTCTCTGCTTAGTGTTAGCGGCGGCCAGGACCATCATTGCTGACAGGCCTTTGCGTGCTTTTGTTATGACATGGTCAACATGTTCTTTGAAGGATAGGCTGCGATCAAACCTTACTCCAAGGTATGTCATCAGAGTTTTTCTCGTTAAAATTTCCTCGCTGCTTTCCACTGCTGATAAGTCTGACTTCACTTGATGCGTGTTCAAGGAGAACTACGTTACTGAAGCCTTCGAAGGGTTGACATGAGATTTAGAATCTGCACACCAGGAGGAGATGCGATTAAGTTAATTCTGCATTGACTTGGCAATCTCTTGACGATCTCTTTCATGTAGATATACTAAGAGGTCATCATCAAATGACAAGGTCCTGCCATTCCCGTGCAACTGCTGCTCAGTTATCAGCACTGTGTACACGCTGAACAGCACTTGAGACAGCGGAGAACCTTGAGGCAATTTCCAGCCTTGTGTTCATCTTCGTGCTGGTCGGCGCTTTGTCCTCTTTCCTGGTAACATGCTTTCTGCTATTATTATTTTTTTCCAATCCGCCATAGCGCTTGATGTGACCAATATATTTCAGCTTCTGAGACAAGATGCTGTTTATTAGCAAATCTTACTGGACGTTCAGATCTTTTAATGACCTTTTTCATACGCCATAGAAATATGATGCTAAATGTCGTGGAGTGAATCAACCAAACCCTGCACATGAGACTATTCGTGACGTTGACGCCCCTAGCGGGCAGGTCACATTTCAAATTTAGACCCGTCCGGTGGGTATATAGTCCCTCATATCGATTTATACCTCTATCTGGTGGAAGAGATATTTCCATACCCTCTAGTTGTTTTGAAAAGTCTACATTTTCAAACTTGCAACTGTGGAATAGATATTTTCTGGAATAATTTTCAGAATTCATGGAAACCTTTTTACTCCTAGGCGTACTAATACGGGACTTCTTTCTAGAGACGCCAAGCAAGATTAGGCGGGGTCACTCTTTGTTAGACTTCCTAGGCGTAAAGAAGTATTTCACCTCTCTGATTAAATCTTGGCGCATTCAAAATACCAGTTTAAACTTTGAAGGATTCCCAAGCTTGAGTAAGTTGATTATTGTTTACGAGTACCATGATATATGTCTCTATAAAGTTAGCCGCTGCTGCAGGGAGGAAAGATTCAGCTGTGTGACAGCACAGAACTAGCCGTTCTTGGTGTCCAGACACTCAGGGCCCCTGAAATCAAACCTTTCCCTTCGCAAGCTGATAGTTTGTGCCCTACCTGATCCAATACTATTATAAATATTTTAAACCTAGCCAGCTAATTATTCTTTAACGAACCGACAGAGTTTGGGTCGATTAGTGGACATATTTACATGGGTCACACTTCAGTCGGCAAGACGCTGTGACGTCAGAGGTTATTTTTAGCACAACAACACAGTGTGTGCAGTGGGCAGATTGTGGAGGTATAAAATATACATGTAAGAACGAGATAGAATGTATGTCTGCAAGTGCGGATGGGAAGGTGGAGAGAGGATGATCTTTGTGTATTAGGTCTATCTATCTCCACTATGGACCTTGTCTCCTATCTCTTGTACTGACTGACAGACAGAGATAAATGAAGACTGAATTGTCTCATTTTCCTGAGAGCTATCCTCTGAGTGACTGAAAAGAGTGGAGGGAAATAATTTGAGCTTGGTGTGTGACTCTCAAGATGAATACCAATTCTAAATTCCTTCCTAACACAGGATGATACCTCCCTGGAAGTCAGGCAAACGATTCACAGTCCAACCAACCACCATCCACAATAGTACCTACTACCACCACAACTTCAACATGACAGGAGCTTGTGTGAGTTCCAGTGGCTGAGAGGCAGTTGTTGCAGGCCAGCCGTGTCATCACTCCAAGGAATCCTTCTTCATGAGCTTTGTTGGGCTCCAGCACAATCCTTTTATTCCAATACATGAACACTGTCTGTGTTTGCAAGAGCAACCAGAAAAAAAGCAGTCCACTGAGTCAGCCTGTTCAGATCACCATAGAGAGCAGTGACCTACCAAACTGATAAGTAACATCTGAGATTACATACCACATGCTCTATTTACAGGTCTACCCCGAGTTACAGGGATGATCCCTGATACTCTCAAGAACTGACTCTGGCTGTTTCAACAGTTTCTCATGAACTTTAGTTCCCGAACTTCAGTCACCGGGGACCATCTTTGATTGTCTTGATATATATGTGTTGCATTGATTACATACATTCAGAAGATTTCATTACTGACTTGGATGTCCCTGTTTCACTATTCAAACTGTCTAGCTTTTATTTTTGTGTGATTAGTAATTTTAATCTGTGTTAACATGGCTGTGATAGTACACTATCATAGCCTAGGGGCTATCTTCTTATAGTAGTGGGGGCGTCCAGCCAAGTTGCGCCTAGGATTATTAGATATTCTGTAGTGCCATAACTTGAGTTGCCCTACTCCTGAAATAGGTTGAGCGTATATACCCTTTAGACCAATACGAGCCGACGCCTCAAAATTATTCTATTTCAGAGTGCTGTTGGTTTGTGAGGAGAAATCCTTTAATCAGGCACGCGACACGAGCGGTATGTGACACTAAACTCGTCTTATTTTTGTAGAACAATCAGCGCTCGGTGGCTGATGTGGTCAGCATTATATCAGTTTCATAGGGCATTACCTGGTACCTATTTTAGGTTAGGGAGATTTGGGAGCCAAGGTATATTAAGAGAAAACAAATCCGCTACGATGAGTATTCTAACTCAATGTAGGCAGAGCATCAGACGAGACTACAAGGACTCCCAAAACCTGGATAGCTTGACCACATTTCAGAGGTTGGATAGGGACACCATGACTCGGGTTGATGTGTAAACTAATGAACCAGGACTTCCCACGCGTATCGGCATGGTAGCGGATGATAATTAAACCAGCAACTAGTTCATCATTTCCCAACTGGTTGTTCGCGGACGCCTGGGGTAATATAGGGTCGACTTTTCCTTCGGTAGGGTTGCATCTGAATGAGACTCAAAGAACCAACGTTCTGCACACAAATAAGCAAGATACGTAAATTTTATGTGCATGCAAAATTCAAGTTACGGAACAAGACTAAATCCAGACGTAGAATTATGATATAATTATGACGTATTAGGTGTAAAAAGGGGAGACTCAACAAGGCAATAGGCCAGAAAAGACAAATAAGGCTTAGTGTGAGGATTATGCAATGGGGAGAATAACTGAACGATGTTAGGATAATGCGTGGGGATTGAACGAATGATTAGAAGATTAGGATGACTAAAGATCATTCTGTGTTTGGAAACTGGACTGGTTGCAAATACAGAATGACTGTGTGGGGGCCAGCAAGTTAAATTGACTACAACAAAGTGTATCTAACCATCTGATATATGACAAAATTGCTATGGCAATGATGAGCAGACTCAATGGATGAATGCTGACACTGATCTACAGAAAGGGAGCTTTTGTTGACGGAAGAATATATTTGAACAAAGAATAAACAGACAATAGATCGCATAATTTATTGTCTGGAATATTTCGCTGTATCTTGTCTGGTGCACTCGAAAGAAACAGTTGATTAAAATGAAGCAAATAAATGAAGGCTTTCAGCTGGAACACAAAATCTACTACATTCAAAAGTAACTGTTCAACCAGGGTAAACGCAAGATGACAGCCATGTCCTTCTGTATACATAGTTTTAGACTGAACCTGTTTATAGCAGATGCTTCCGCGAATCTTAATAATCTGCTGTTGGCCGAGGTGTAAAGAATTCAAAATGCATCGCCCTTCTTTAAAATATATCCAGAATTCAAAAAAACGTAGTCAATCAAGAATATATACCATTAGTAGGGATACCATCACGTCGAGTCGAGATCCCATTTTACAAACACTACGCGCATTACCTACAGTATACGCCCGGCTGACTAGCGTAGTTGATTAAAGCTGACTTCGCGGTTTCCGGGTGACGAACTTCTTGTGGTCCGGGTTCATGCCAGGGGGAAGGCAGAAAAGCCTCATTTCTTCCAGATTTACGGTACCTACAATGGAATCAAGGCTGAAGGGTTGCGATATCCATATTACCGAGCCAAAGGGTTAACAGCTCATGGTTTCTGGATACTTTACACGTTCAGGTTGAAACGTGTGTTCTGCCAGTCTTTTGTGAAATTCATGTGGGTTATCGCTGTTGCTGTCATCGAATGTAATTTCAGAGATCCAAATAACTTTATATGTAGCTATGTCAACGCAAGGAAGCACATTATATAGAATAAACAACTATGACTTTCCGCCGGGTTTTAAGGCTAGTAAAAGCAAAAATAGAAGTAGAAGAATGTTGAACAGCTTATCTTTCCTTACTCCATGCACAGAAGACTTGTTCATTACTTTGTTAGCTGCCTCTGTCCATGCATATTAACAAACAAAACACAGATCGACAGACGAAGATATTCCAATACCCACCTTTCAATGCTCACAGCCATAAGATTGAGTACAGAAGCAAGGGCAGACAACATTTCAACGGCCCCTGACACCTTGCAGAAGATGGTGCCCGTGTCCCAGTGTCCGATAAAGTTCTTGGCTGTCTCGTAGGGGACACAGACTAGCAGAAACAAGAGGTCGGCAACTGCCAAGCTGACCATGAAGGTTGCTGTGGTGCTTCGACTTTTTCTGTCCAAATACAAGAAATATCGGAGATAAGGTGAGGTAAAAAAAAAATTCAATAAAACGAATGTTAAATGTCCTAAAAATCAAAGTTGAAAAAAATTTATTCCGGTACTTAGATTTTAATTTACTCCACACAAAGTTAATTCGTGAGTATCGTATTATGTAGTATATAAAGTAGTAAATCCGGAAGTATCGTGTTATGAGTTGAAATGAGAACTGAAGCTGTAATTTGGTGCCCAGGCAGGAAAATGAATCTGACCTTTGTCAACCCCGACCGCTTCAGGAACACCGATTAACCCTAACCAATAGCACTCCTAGAATATTGGAGTTTTCCCGGAACTCTCGGATGTCCTTTGTTTGGGGTGAATTAAAACCGAAGTACCAAAATGCGTGCTAACCACTATTCAGGGCAGTGCAGGATCTGGGGTCGGAGGGGGGATCTCTAGCCTAAGGGTTTAAACACCCAGCTAGTGAGGTAGTGACAGACTGTGCAAATTAGGATGTTAAATTATGCAATATTAGGCATCATCTCATCTACAATTCTAACTCCCCACACACGAGAGCCTGGCGTACTGACGGCTCCAGCAAAGCTCATCAAAACCGGGAAATTCAAGCAGTATATACAATTATCGTAAAATGGAAATAAGAAATATACACATAAATTCATTGCCTGAAAGACATTATGAAACATACACGGCAAAAATGAGATCAAATAAAACATAGATATTCATAGCTGTAAAAGCATCTCATAGAAAGGCGGAAATTATTACATTAAAGACATCCTTGTCAGGGCAATTCAGGATGCGGAATAACTGGCCAAGGGTAGAGAGCTTTTTCAGCAGACGATCATTAGAATGTGAAGGTTGCGTGCTGAACTTGCTGTGCTGTTCAGTTGTACCAGAGGTCAGAGGCGTGATCGCCTGCACCAGTGGTCAAGGCGCTAGAAGATTATGATCGCAGAGGTGAGTACAAAAGGTCCACACGGCTTTAAAGTGACAGACGAGTGTTTCTCGAGATTACAGGGGCTTCACGGGTACTGCAAGACCCAAGCGTGACTAGCCGCTGACCTAAAGGTTAGCCCGTGTCTAGTCAGTGCCTCTCAGTCTGTGAAAGAGTTCGGACTTGTGTGACTTTTAGTCGGAATCACGTGTATTATTTTATTCTGGTGAAAGTTTAGATTGTTTATTAGAATTTGGTGTATAATTCGGAATGCTCCAGTTGAGTGTATTTAGTGGAGACAAGGCAGTGTGAGCCAATACTTTATATTGTTCTACTGACGAGGAACGATCACGTCCTCGCAGCGGAATAATATAAAGTGGGCTATTCCCCCCCCCCCCTTTTTTTTCTTAAGTATTCAAACCGCTTTAAGGGTAGATGTGCCGCGAAATAATTTTTTCCCGACGAGGGTGCCGGGAAAAAAGTTTAGGAAACGCTCAAGGACCAGATTCCTAAGCTGCCTTAGAGCACGAGGTAAACGCCTTAAAGACTCAGCATCGGAAACCAGTGTTACCACTTTGGATGTTTTACATCCAGATTTAGATGTTTTCCCTTGCATTTAGATGGCGTTTTTGACGTTTAGATGGTAGATGTTTTTCTAGAAGTTTTTCACTTGGAGTGAATCTATCAAATCTAACCTTAGAAACAGGAGGAAATTTGACCTCTCAAATGCTATCTTGACAATAAAATTCGGCCTGATAAGAGTAGGAAAAGGCTGTTCCACTTATCAGCTCCCTGATTGGGTATTGAAAGAAATTGGAACAGCTAAAGTATACCAGAGTCATTTTGGATCTGAAGCTTCAACTTCATCATCCAAGCTAAGTTTATCCTATGGATCTTGTAAGGCAGACTTCAGTAAAGATGAGGACATGATTCCTTAGGGTAAGTCATATCAATTGCTATGTAATTTGTATCTTTTTCCATTTGGATGATTTTTCTAGATGTTTTCCCCGCAAATTTAGATGTTTTTAGATATTTTTTGACTCCGTTTTCGATGTTTTTTTTTGTCAATAAAAAGTGGCAACACTGTCGGAAACCTTTAATTAAAACAACTGAACGTTTAAGTGTAGAGTGGGCGGATATGATCACATAATTTTATGTTATGTCATTACAATCGACGTCACACTACACTGTGCATTCCCATGCGCACCCAGTCCTCCAATGCAGCAACCACTCCAAGGTACTTCTACTTATCGTTCAAATGAGAGGTTGATTATAACGTCTCTTATCTTGGCATCAAAGGCGTCATAGACATGCTTCACTGCGCTTTACTCCCATGTCACACAATCGTGTTAGTGTCAGAAATTTGTCATTATCCACTAGTCCAGTCCGGATAGCGTTTATGTCACAGCGTTGACGTCGCATAATGAAGTTGTTTGGACAACAGCTCTTTTGGTTTTAGTGATAGATAAAGGACGCGGTCCACGTGTGATTATAGTTATAGTACTGATTAATTGTGGGTGATCAACTGGAAAACTGAGCTCGTGCGTGTCTGTTACGTTAACATTAAATCCGTCGAGCCATGAGAAAAGCTTGCATATATCGAGGTGAGGCTAGTGCACATAATTTCCACCTGGCTAGATACCAGAATATCATCTTCCGGTTGACAAAACTACAAAGCTCTACCTGCTCCGCTGTAATCTTTGAAATCAGTGGAGTGTGCAAGACTGGTAATAGAACTTTTCATATATGGACAAATGTATTATGAGGTTACCAGATTGTGATTCAGCTTAGTACGTTGAATATTGATTTAAGAATCGACATTGCAACACTAAGGTCACTCCCATAACGCTCCGTCCCTATCTTAAGCAGCAAGCGAAGAGCTCCAATTCCAATGTCAACAGCAACTGTCTGATTGCCTATCCGTTTCGCCTTTTCCTTGAGTGCTGAGCGTCAGCCAGATCTCCTGGTAACTTCTCAAAGCGCCATTCTCCTCAGACCGTAGTCCGTACGAACTGCAAAAATCCCTTTCGCTGTCAGGTCGACTTAGACTAAAATGGGTACCTAGTAAAGTACTGGGAAGTAAAGTAGGCCTGTGTTGACCACATTACCCAACGAATGTAGACTGCTTAACAGACACAATATGAGTATATCATCATATGTCCAACTCGCCTCTGGCGTGACAGGGGTCCATTACTCTACATCCGTCGGCGTCCTGTGGCTTAGGCGTTGCGAACGAGTTTCGTAATGCCGGGGTGCCAGGTTCGATTCCAGCTGCGGGCCTTACGCCTTGCGTTGGTTTCGACAGTGGTATAGAGAATCTGACCATCCAGAAAGCGATGACAAACTACTGGACGTAAATTTGCCGGCAAAAACACCACAACAACCAAAAAAATTCTTGGGTTGGTTCTGCAACGTCCTGTAAAGAATACGCAAGTAACTACACACTTTACATTCGTGATGACCGTGATTAAAAAAAAAAAAAAACCTGCAATTTATGTCTGTCATTTTCCCTTTTTGCGGAGCGCGTGGGGGGGGGGGGGGGGGGTGCGGAGTGTTTTGAGCCGTATTATGTGGGCCGCATGGCTAGTGCTATCGCCACAGACTGTGCAGGTTAGGATTGTATCTTGTGACAGAAAACACCTATAACATTACAGAGGATTCGAACCTCTATCTCCACGAGAGGTCTCAACGTCCTTAACCGTACAGAGGGTCTTGTTGGGATGAAACCTACTCTGGTCCTCAGGTTTGACGTGACTCTTTACGACCAATTCTAAATAATTGCACCGAATAAAGCCTACTGAGTTAATGTTTTTAAAAGGTTCACTAAAACGATGGAGTGGAGAATGAGGGTGGGGAGGGACTCAGAAATGAACTTAAGATGCTTAAGTCTTGTTTAAATGCGTAATATATATATATATATATATATATATATATATATATATATACGAATGCGACGATATATATATATATATATATATATATATATATATATATATATATATATATATATATATATCGTCGCATTCGTCGATCAAAAGAAAGCTTACGATCGAGTTAATATAAATTAATTATGGAGAGCTCTATAGGATTACGGAGTGAACGAACATCTTTTTAAACCGTGCAAGAGTTTTTACATGAATAGTCAATGTGCAGTTAGAACAAATACAGGAATGTGAGAAAAGTTCTACATTAGATCTAGAGTGAGACAGGGATGCGTTCTATCACCACTAAGATTCATCACATACGTCAACTAAATTTAAAAATCGGCAAACATCAACGAGGGGCGCAACATCCGAGTTACAAAATGAATTGCTTTTTCGCCGATGACTAGGCAATCAAATCACCAACAGCAATACAGCTACAATAACATATTAAAAGACTCCACTCAGAATGCGACATCTACGATATGAAGATCAACGTAGACAAAACAGAAGTGATGCCACTCTCCAGAAAAAATGAAGAACCACCAATATCAAAATTGATGTACACCAATTGAAGCAGGCGAAGGATTTTACAAATCTGGAAAGCACTTTTTCAGACGACGAAAGAATGAATAAAGAAATCCAACAAAGATGCAAGAAATCCAACTAAGTTTTAGGCTAAATGGCACCAATTGTGAAATGCAAGTATGTGAGTATGAACACTAAAAAATCACTGTGTGACACAATATTCTTACCACCGCTCTGCTATCAATGTCAAACATGGACACTGTCTTCCGGAGACAGAAATGAAATGTTTACTATGTGTAACGAGGAAAGATCGACTTAGGAACGATGATATCAAGAGGAGAATCGGCACAGAATCAAACTGAACTTTATAGGTAGATAACAAATCAAATGGTTTGGCCATGTAACAAGATTGGCAACAGACAAGGCACCAAAGTGGTAACAGACCCAGAGGTTGACCACGCAGAATATGCACGGCAGAAATATCAGAGACAATGAAAAGTACTATAAACAAAGCGAACAGAAGGGCCAGTTCTTGAGATCTCTTCCTCCTACGACGCCGCGAGGCATTACAGGAGTAAAGAAAAGAAGAAGAAGAAGATATATATATATATATATATATATATATATATATATATATATATATATATATATATATATATATATATATATATATATATGGGTGCAACAGTAATTATCTTTGGGATGACCAATATAGGAGCAGTGGGCTCCTTCTTTGGTATCGAGAGTTTACTACGATTCTGTCAGGGCTCAGTTCCCTTACACATTTTTAAAGTGTGGGGGGGGGGGGTGGGGAGCGAAAAAGTCTTAAGTTTGGTTTCACTGCATAATAACAATGTGCAGAATTACATATAAATATAATGCACTTTTCCATAGAGAAATAAAACTGTCTACTCTCAGCTCCCCCCCCCCCCCCCTCCTTCTCTCTCTTCCTTTTTCCCAATAACGATAGATGATGAAGAACTTGAACCTATCACAATCGTTGAATACCTAGGCTCCATAACAAACAGCAGCGGAGACTGCAATAAAAGTCATACGGGGGGTAGGATAGCTATACACAATTTAAACGGCATTAAAAGTCAATAGTTAAGCACCAACAAGGAGATCAAAGTGAAAACTGCGTCAGAAACATACATCTTTCCTTTGGCAACAAACGAATATGACTCGTGAATCTATCTCACAGTCATTAGGGAAGAAAGATGTTTTTTTTTAAACCTAAATGCCATAGATAGATTCTCAGAATATCTTGGACTGTGAAGAAAAGAAATATCGACATATTTACTAGGGCTGTACTGAAGAGTGATTTTCAATATTCGGCCGAATACGAATACAAATAGTGTATCATCATCATCAGGTGTCCTGCCGACTGGCGTGGGCGATTATTCCTAGCCACAATCTGCGATCTCCCCCATGTATAAGTTCATGTGCTGACACATTTCCATGCCATGCTACAAGACTGTCAAGAATCTTCTCTCGTTGTCTTCCTCTATCCCTCCTTTCACAGGTCTTTCCAGTGGTCACCACATGTTCCATTTTCCCTCTTCTCATAACATGGCCGAAAAATGATGACTGTCTCCTTCTGATGTCTGTGAGTAGTTGTCCTAGGGCTCCCGCCTCTTTTCAAAACCTCTTGGCTGCTTTTTCTGGCTGTCCAGGGTATTTTAAGCATTGTTCTGTAAAACCACATCTCTGAGGCTTCAAGAAATTGTTTGGCCTGCCTACCGATTGCCCAGGAGAAACTGGATGTCTGAAGCAAGCAAGAATTCTTTTTCTAACCTTCAAAGACACAGATATATTGCATAAGATGTTCTCCATATTATAAAATGGAGTTTTTGTTTGTCCTCTTTTCGACAGTGGCGAAAAAAGACAATTTAAATTTTAACTTTTAAGTATTTTCATGCCTTATTTAATAATGTCACAATTTATGCCGACTTTTCTTGATTTTCGCCGCGGCACCCCTGGCATACGCACCCAGTTTGAGAACCTCTACTGTAATGCCTCTGTCGAGTCTGCAGGCTAAGACCTAGCCAGCTGCTGTACCACGCAACCGGGTCACAGTCCCCCTATTCCCCCCCCCCCCCACCCCGCTAATACAGACTTAGGCAAAAGCAACTATTGTGTTAATGATGGAGTTATTTCAGTCCATCGCAGTGTATGCAGAAACGGTCGTAAGGTAACCACTATTCGTATTCGGTCCTACCGCAAGTATTCGGCCGAATACCGAATTGTTATTAGGTCCACTATTCGGCCCCGAAGCGAATACGAAGCGAATATTCGGTACAGCCCTAATATTTACAGTTCTTAACATCAATTAAGAATGACTGGTAAACACCGACTTGTCTCAGAAACTGAAATATTTGGACCATATCAAGTGCCACGGTGTACTGGACAGAATAGTAGCAACAGGCATGGTGCCAGGAAGCAATGGCAGGGGTCGACCAGCACGATGATGAGGACAGGATATAAGACACACAGTGGGAGAGCTGGCTAAAGACTGAGTGTTTTTCAGGGAGGCTATTATAAGTACTTGCGACAGTCGGAAACGGTGAAACACGTATACTCAAGTTGTCAGACATACATAAGTCACGGACAGGCAGACAGACAAACTGGATGAAAGACATTCTGACATAAAAGATGGACAGATGTATGTGCATAGTTAGATGGAAAGGCTTCCATGCACAATGACAAACCGACAGTTCTTCTTCTTCCTGTTCGCGTTCACCAGCTGCTAATTCCGGCAGAAAGTTCTGGTTGTTTACCTACCTCTGGATTTTAGACTTGTACCACAACTTGAGAATTATATGAGAACCTACAATGATTTGCAGGAAGATAGGTTGGAAGACAAACAGGTGGGCAGACAGACAGGCAGACAGACAGACTGGTAGACAAACATACAGAGATGCAGTCAGGTCGACATAGAGACAGTGTGACGGACAGAGAGACAAAGACAACAGAGATAAGTAGGCAGGCAGACAGACAGGCAGACAGGTGGGCGGACAGACTTTCAAAAGGTACAGACCGTCAAACAGTCGGTCAGACTGCTTAATCAGCAGATTAATAGACAAAAAGCAACCTTAATGAAAGCTACTTACTTGTCTCCCACCATTGCGAAAATAACCAAGGAATTTCCCACCAATCCCAGCAGAAAGGCGACGCCATAAATACACACTGTCGGTATAAAATGCTGCTCTTTGGTCCACGGCTTCAGCAAATTCTCGATATTATCTCCTGAATAATAGTAGGCAGTATCATCGTCTGGTAAGGCCAAATCTTTGAGGTCGTTGAGGTCAAGCTCAGGTAGACTTGACCTGTTGGTAACGTTGAAATCCAGCAGTTTGGTGAAATGTCCAAACATGTAGGTTGTGGTGCTAGAGAGAAGAATACCGAAATGATAATTGTTACTTATAACAAACAAATAATAAATACGAGGGGTCGTGTCACAAGTGGTCTAGTGGCTATTATTGCGTGCTCTCATCACTAGATAAGAGTCTAAACTTAATTTAATCATTTTTAAATTAAAGACAAAAATCTGCAAAACTGTATGACTGACTAGTGTAACATATAGGGGAAATAGAAGAGCAGACTTTTTCTTTCTCACTTCCTCTTTTACCACTTCGGGTGGTCGAGAGAGATATAAGGTCCTGCATCTTGCACTTCTGTAAGCCTCCACCATACACATCGTACTGTTGTAGAGTTTCTTTGATGTTATTTAGCAGAAATTGGAAGTTTTACATAACAGCCAGACACAAGATAAACTTAATGAGGACAATATAACTTAGACCAGCAGCAAATAGAACCAACTGGAATATTTCTTATCCACGATGGTGGCACTTTGTGTCACCTGGTGTTTATCGCTCTTTGTGCGGTCCTGGTGGGGTTAAACATCATCACTTCCCATCCAGGAAACAATCCACCCAATCAACCTCGGCACACGAAAGAAAGCAACCATTATATTTAGCTTGCCAACTGATCATAACAGACTGCAGCTATGTGTACAAGATATTGGCTAGTGGTCATAACAGACTGCAGCTATGTGTATAAGATATTGGCTACTGGTCATAACAGACTGCAGCCATGTGTATAAGATATTGGCTAGTGGTCATAACAGACTGCAGCTATGTGTATAAGATATTGCCTACTGATCATAACAGACTGCAGCTATGTGTATAAGATATTGCCTACTGGTCATAACAGACTGCAGCTATGTGTATAAGATATTGCCTAGTGATCATAACAGACTGCAGCTATGTGTATAAGATATTGCCTACTGGACATAACAGACTGCAGCTATATGTATAAGATATTGCCTAGTGGTCATAACAGACTGCAGCTATATGTATAAGATATTGCCTAGTGGTCATAACAGACTGCAGCTATATGTATAAGATATTGCCTAGTGGTCATAACAGACTGCAGCTATGTGTACAAGATATTGGCTACTGGTCATAACAGACTGCAGCTATGTGTTCAAGATATTGGCTACTGGTCATAACAGACTGCAGCTATGTGTATAAGATATTGCCTACTGGTCATAACAGACTGCAGCTATGTGTATAAGATATTGGCTACTGGTCATAACAGACTGCAGCTATGTGTATAAGATATTGCCTAGTGGTCATAACAGACTGCAGCTATGTGTATAAGATATTGCCTACTGGTCATAACAGACTGCAGCTATGTGTACAAGATATTGCCTAGTGGTCATAACAGACTGCAGCTATGTGTACAAGATATTGGCTACTGGTCATAACAGACTGCAGCTATGTGTATAAGATATTGGCTACTGGTCATAACAGACTGCAGCTATGTGTATAAGATATTGGCTACTGGTCATAACAGACTGCAGCTATGTGTATAAGATATTGCCTAGTGGTCATAACAGACTGCAGCTATGTGTATAAGATATTGCCTACTGGTCATAACAGACTGCAGCTATGTGTACAAGATATTGCCTAGTGGTCATAACAGACTGCAGCTATGTGTATAAGATATTGCCTACTGGTCATAACAGACTGCAGCTATATGTATAAGATATTGCCTAGTGGTCATAACAGACTGCAGCTATATGTATAAGATATTGCCTAGTGGTCATAACAGACTGCAGCTATATGTATAAGATATTGCCTAGTGGTCATAACAGACTGCAGCTATGTGTACAAGATATTGGCTACTGGTCATAACAGACTGCAGCTATGTGTTCAAGATATTGGCTACTGGTCATAACAGACTGCAGCTATGTGTATAAGATATTGCCTACTGGTCATAACAGACTGCAGCTATGTGTATAAGATATTGGCTACTGGTCATAACAGACTGCAGCTATGTGTATAAGATATTGCCTAGTGGTCATAACAGACTGCAGCTATGTGTATAAGATATTGCCTACTGGTCATAACAGACTGCAGCTATGTGTACAAGATATTGCCTAGTGGTCATAACAGACTGCAGCTATGTGTACAAGATATTGCCTAGTGGTCATAACAGACTGCAGCTATGTGTACAAGATATTGGCTACTGGTCATAACAGACTGCAGCTATGTGTATAAGATATTGGCTACTGGTCATAACAGACTGCAGCTATGTGTATAAGATATTGCCTACTGGTCATAACAGACTGCAGCTATGTGTACAAGATATTGGCTACTGGTCATAACAGACTGCAGCTATGTGTACAAGATATTGCCTACTGGTCATAACAGACTGCAGCTATGTGTATAAGATATTGCCTACTGGACATAACAGACTGCAGCTATATGTATAAGATATTGCCTAGTGGTCATAACAGACTGCAGCTATATGTATAAGATATTGCCTAGTGGTCATAACAGACCGCAGCTATGTGTACAAGATATTGGCTACTGGTCATAACAGACTGCAGCTATGTGTACAAGATATTGGCTACTGGTCATAACAGACTGCAGCTATGTGTATAAGATATTGGCTACTGGTCATAACAGACTGCAGCTATGTGTATAAGATATTGCCTACTGGTCATAACAGACTGCAGCTATGTGTATAAGATATTGGCTACTGGTCATAACAGACTGCAGCTATGTGTATAAGATATTGCCTAGTGGTCATAACAGACTGCAGCTATGTGTATAAGATATTGCCTACTGGTCATAACAGACTGCAGCTATGTGTACAAGATATTGCCTAGTGGTCATAACAGACTGCAGCTATGTGTACAAGATATTGGCTACTGGTCATAACAGACTGCAGCTATGTGTATAAGATATTGGCTACTGGTCATAACAGACTGCAGCTATGTGTATAAGATATTGGCTACTGGTCATAACAGACTGCAGCTATGTGTATAAGATATTGCCTAGTGGTCATAACAGACTGCAGCTATGTGTATAAGATATTGCCTACTGGTCATAACAGACTGCAGCTATGTGTACAAGATATTGCCTAGTGGTCATAACAGACTGCAGCTATGTGTATAAGATATTGCCTACTGGTCATAACAGACTGCAGCTATGTGTACAAGATATTGCCTAGTGGTCATAACAGACTGCAGCTATGTGTATAAGATATTGCCTACTGGTCATAACAGACTGCAGCTATGTGTATAAGATATTGCCTACTGGTCATTACAGACTGCAGCTATGTGTATAAGATATTGGCTAGTGGTCATAACAGACTGCAGCTATGTGTACAAGATATTGGCTAGTGGTCATAACAGACTGCAGCTATGTGTATAAGATATTGCCTACTGGTCATAACAGACTGCAGCTATGTGTACAAGATATTGCCTACTGGTCATAACAGACTGCAGCTATGTGTATAAGATATTGCCTACTGGTCATAACAGACTGCAGCTATGTGTACAAGATATTGGCTAGTGGTCATAACAGACTGCAGCTATGTGTACAAGATATTGCCTAGTGGTCATAACAGACTGCAGCTATATGTATAAGATATTGCCTACTGGTCATAACAGACTGCAGCTATGTGTATAAGATATTGGCTAGTGGTCATAACATACTGCAGCTATGTGTATAAGATATTGCCTAGTGGTCATAACAGACTGCAGCTATGTGTATAAGATATTGGCTACTGGTCATAACAGACTGCAGCTATGTGTATAAGATGTTTGCTAATGGTCATAACAGACTGCAGCTATGTGTATAAGATGTTTGCTAATGGTCATAACAGACTGCAGCTATGTGTACAAGATATTGCCTACTGGTCATAACAGACTGCAGCTTTGTGTACAAGATATTGCCTACTGGTCATAACAGACTGCAGCTATGTGTACAAGATATTGGCTAGTGGTCACAACAGACTGCAGCTATGTGTACAAGATATTTGCTAGTGGTCATAACAGACTGCAGCTATGTGTACAAGATATTGGCTAGTGGTCATAACAGACTGCAGCTATGTGTACAAGATATTGGCTAGTGGTCATAACAGACTGCAGCTATGTGTATAAGATATTGCCTAGTGGTCATAACAGACTGCAGCTATGTGTACAAGATATTGGCTAGTGATCATAACAGACTGCAGCTATGTGTACAAGATATTTGCTAGTGGTCATAACAGACTGCAGCTATGTGTATAAGATATTGCCTAGTGGTCATAACAGACTGCAGCTATGTGTATAAGATATTGGCTAGTGGTCACAACAGACTGCAGCTATGTGTATAAGATATTGGCTAGTGGTCATAACAGACTGCGGCTATGTGTACAAGATATTGGCTACTGGTCATAACAGACTGCAGCTATGTGTACAAGATATTGGCTACTGGTCATAACAGACTGCAGCTATGTGTATAACATATTGCCTACTGGTCATAACAGACTGCAGCTATGTGTATAAGATATTGGCTACTGGTCATAACAGACTGCAGCTATGTGTATAAGATATTGCCTAGTGGTCATAACAGACTGCAGCTATGTGTATAAGATATTGCCTACTGGTCATAACAGACTGCAGCTATGTGTACAAGATATTGCCTAGTGGTCATAACAGACTGCAGCTATGTGTACAAGATATTGGCTACTGGTCATAACAGACTGCAGCTATGTGTATAAGATATTGGCTACTGGTCATAACAGACTGCAGCTATGTGTATAAGATATTGCCTACTGGTCATAACAGACTGCAGCTATGTGTACAAGATATTGGCTACTGGTCATAACAGACTGCAGCTATGTGTACAAGATATTGGCTACTGGTCATAACAGACCGCAGCTATGTGTATAAGATATTGCCTACTGGTCATAACAGACTGCAGCTATGTGTATAAGATATTGGCTACTGGTCATAACAGACTGCAGCTATGTGTATAAGATATTGCCTAGTGGTCATAACAGACTGCAGCTATGTGTATAAGATATTGCCTACTGGTCATAACAGACT